CCCCTTTTTTTAAAATTTAATTTAAAAAATTTTTTCCCCTTTTTTGGGGGCCCCGGGGAAAGGGGGTTTTTTTGGGGGGGGAAAAAATTTTTTTTTTTTTTTCCAAAATTTTTTTAAAAAAAAACCCCCCCAAAAACCCCGGGGGTTTTTTAACCCCTTTTCCCCCCAAAAAACCAAAAAAACCCCCCCTTTTTTAAAAAAAAAAAAAAAAAAGGGGGGGGGGGCCCCGGGGGTTTTTTTTTTTAAACCCTTTAAAAAATTTTTAACCTTTTCCCCCCCCCAAATTTTAAAGGGTTTCCCCCCCCCTTTTTTTTTTTGGGGCCCCTTTTTTTAAAATTAAAAACCCCCTTTTTAAAAAGGGGGGGGGCCCCCTTTTTAGGAAAGTGGGGGAAAAAAAAATTAAAAAACCCCCCCCTTTTAAAACCCCCCTTTTTTTGGGGAAAAAAAAGGGCCCAAAAAACCAAAAAAGGACCCAAAAAAAAAAAAAAAAAGGGGTTTTTTTTGGGGGGAAAAAAATTTTTTTGGGGGTTTTTTTTTTTTTTTTTTTTAAAAGGGATTTAAATTTTTTTGTTTTTTTTTTTTAGAAATTTCCTTCCCCGGGCCCGGGGGGGAAAAAAAAAAACCCCCCCAAAAAAAAAAGAAAAAATTGGGCCGGAAAAACCCGGGTTTTATTAATTAACCCAAAAAAGGCCAAAAAAAATTTTTTTTTTTAAAAAAAACGGGGAAAAAAAAAGGTTTTTTCCCCCTTTTAAAAAAAATTTTTTTTTTTTTTCCCCCCCCTTTTTTAAATTTTTTTAAAAAAAAAAAGGGGGGGGGGTTTGGGGGTTTTTTTTAAAAAACCCAAAAAAACCCCCCCAACCCCCCCATTTCCCTTTTTTTTAAAAAAAAAACAAAAAAGGGGGCCCCCCCTTTTGGGGAAAACCGGGGGTTTCCCCCTTGGGAAAAGGGGCCCCCTTTTGGAAAAAGGGGGGGTTTTCCTTTTGGGGGGGGAAAAATAACAAAAAAAAAACCCCCCAATTTTTTCTTTTCTTATTTTTTGGGGGAAATTTTTAAAAATTTTGGGGGGGGTTTTTTTTCCCCCCCCTTTTTAAAACCCCAAAGGGGGGGTTTTTTAAGGGGGCCCCCCCCCTTTTTTTAAAAAATTTTTTTTTTTCCCTTTAAAAGGGAAAAAAATTTTTTTTTTTTTTTTTTTTTTGGGAAAAAACCCCCCCGGGGCCCCCTTTTTAAAGGAATTTTTAAATTTTTTGGGGGGAATTTTTGGTTTTTTTTTAAAAAAAAAAATTTTTTTTAAAAAAATTTTTTTAAAAAAAAAAACCCTTTAAAAAAAAATTTTTTTTTTTTTTTTTTTTTTTTTTTCCTTTTTCCCCCTTTTTTTTTTTTTTTTTTTTTTTTTTTTTTAAAATTTTTTTTTTTTTTTTTTTTTTTTTTCCCCCCCCCCTTTTCCCTTTTTTTTTTTTTCCCCCCCCCTTTTTTTTGGCCCCTTTAAATTTAAAAAAAAAAGGAAAAAACCCCTTTTTTTTTTAATTTTTTCCCGGGGTTTAAAAAAAAAAAAAAATTTCCCTTTTTTTAAAAAAAAAAAAAAAAGGGGGGGGTTTTTTTAAAAACCCAAAAATTTTTGGGGGTTTAAAATTTTTCCCAAAAGGGGGGTTCCCCCAAAAAACCCCGGGGGGGGTTTTTTTTTTTTAAAAAGGGAAAACCCCCTTTTTTAAACCTTTTAAAAAAAAAACCCCCCCCCCAATTCCAAAAAAACCCCGGGGGAAAAAAAATTTTTTTTTAAAAAAAAATTTTTTTTTTTTAAAAAAAAAAAAACCCCCAAAAAAAAAAAATTTTTTTTTAAAAAAAAAAAAAAATTTTTTTAAAAAAAAAAAAAAAGGGGTGAACCCAAAATTTTCCCGGGAAAAAAACAAAGGGGGGGAAAATTTAAAGGTAAAAGAAACCCCAAAAAGGGCCCCCTTTTTTGGGAAATTTTCCCCCTTTTTAAAAAAAAACCCCCAAAAAAAATTTAAAAAAAGGGAAATTTCCCTTTTTTTTCCCAAAATTTTTCCCCAAAACCCAAAAAATTTTTTTGGGGGGGGGGTTTTAAACCGGTTTTGGGGGGGGAGGGGAAAAAGGGTTTTAAAACCCCAAAATTTTGACTGGGTTTAATGTTTCATGACAGGACCCCCCTTTTTGCCTCTTTTTTTAAAAATTTACTGACCAGAAATTAAACATAAATTAGACAGCTTATCTGAGGTTCCTGGAGTTGTCCTGTCCTGTCGCCTGATACTCAAATTATGCAGGAATGCACATCCAACAATTTCGGTTCCCATTTGAGAGGTGTCAACCCAATTTTACCTCTAGAGCACGAAAATTCTTCACATTATTAATTAACGTCTGTTACTCTGGATCACTACGACAAGGTCCTAAATGCACTAGAAGACAAAAAGAATGAAGATGTAATATATACAGACTTTGCAAAAGCCTTCGACAAGTGTGACCATGGCGTAATAGCGCACAAAATGCGTGCTAAAGGAATAACAGGAAAAGTCGGTCGATGGATCTATAATTTCCTCACTAACAGAACACAGAGAGTAGTCGTCAACAGAGTAAAGTCCGAGGCAGCTACGGTGAAAAGCTCTGTTCCACAAGGCACAGTACTCACTCCCATCTTGTTCCTCATCCTCATATCCGACATAGACAAGGATGTCAGCCACAGCACCGTGTCTTCCATTGCAGACACTGCAAGGCTCCAGGTGGACATCAACCAAATCTTTCAGTGGGCTGCAGAAAACAATATGAAGTTCAACGATGAGAAATTTTCAATTACTCAGATATGGTAAACACGAGGAAATTAAATCTTCATCAGAGTACAAAACAAATTCTGGCCACAAAATAGAGCGAAACACCAACGTCAAAGACCTGGGAGTGATCATGTCGGAGGATCTCACCTTCAAGGACCATAACATTGTATCAATCGCATCTGCTAGAAAAATGACAGGATGGATAATGAGAACCTTCAAAACTAGGGAGGCCAAGCCCATGATGACACTCTTCAGGTCACTTTTTTCTATCTAGGCTGGAATATTGCTGCACACAAACAGCACCTTTCAAGGCAGGTGAAATTGCGACCTAGAAAATGTACAGAGAACTTTCACGGCGCGCATAACGGAGATAAAACACCTCAATTACAGGGAGCGCTTGAGGTTCTAAACCTGTATTCCCGGGAACGCAGGAGGAGAGATACATGATTATATACACCTGGAAAATCCTAGAGGGACTAGTACCGAACTTGCACACAGAAATCACTCACTACGAAAGCAAAAGAAATTGGGAGACGATGCACATCCCCCAATGAAAAGCAGGGGTGTCACTAGCACGTTAAGAGACCATACAATAAGTGTCAGGGGCCCGAGACTGTTCAACTGCCTCCCAGCACAACATAAGGGGATTACCAACAGACCCCTGGCACTCTTCAAGCTGGCACTGGACAAGCACCTAAGTCGGTTCCTGACCAGCCGGGCTGTGGCTCGTACGTTGGTTTGCGTGCAGCCAGCAGCAACAGCCTGGTTGATCAGGCTCTGATCCACCAGGAGGCCTGGTCACAGACAGGGCCGCGGGGGCGTTGACCCCCGGAACTCTCTCCAGGTAAACTCTCAATTCAAAACAAACGACAATGGCGATGTCCTTCCCCGGGCAGGCGCAGTTTCCCCTTTTTTCGATAACAAATTTTATTAAATACAGTAGGGCCATCTTTTAATTTAACTATGTATTTCGGGAAAATTTGTAAATTTTCCACAGGAACCACCCCCAATTTTAAGACGATTTTGATAAAGCTGACTGGATCTGGGAGAGGACCTATCGATAGTAAAGAGGCGGGGCCGGGAACTATGAATCGACCCCGCAACCCAAATAGGTAGTGCATGGTTTAAACCTGGCGCCCAACACCATTTACCGATACCCGGGTTCCTTGGTCGCCCTCCCCCGGGACCCGAAAAAGGGGTTCTTTTGGGTCGCTCCCCACCGGACCCCGCAACGGTTCCCTTTGGGGGTCGCCGCCATTAGGCTTTAGATTTAACCATTATTTTTTTTTATAACCCAATGAAAGCTTTTTGGAATAAAATTTTTGTTTTTTTTTATTTTTTCGTACAGGTCACCCACCGAAAATTAATACACATTTCTCGGCTTTATACTTTGTCGTCGGGAAAAAACTAAGATAAGATAAGAAAAGTTTTCGTTCGGATTTTTAACCCCGGGGGTTTTGCCACCCAGGAAAACCCAAAAAAGCATGGTCATCGAGGACTGTCAACTTTTTCCATTGGGGCCTTAAACTTGTCCCCCAGGATGCGACCCACACCCGTCGACAAAAACCCAGGGACCTAATTTTTCTGCTAGGTGAACAGGACACAGGTGTAAGGGAAAAGTGTCGAATGTTTCCAACCCGCCGGGGAAACGAACCCGGGCCCCCGGTGTGAAGCGGGAGCTTTAGCCACCAGGCCACCGGGCCTCAAGCCACCAGGGATACCGCTCGACGTGCATCTCTTTTAGCCAGTCACAACTTTTGTGTGCACGATAAACAAAAACACAATTTGTCGAACGATTCCATTATTATTATTATAATCAAGGGGAAGCGCTAAACCTGGAGGATTATACAGCGCCTGGGGGGTGGATGTGGAAGGCATTCAGGCTTAATTCGGGGAACTGGAGCACAGATCCAATTTCCTAAATCAGGAACTCCTCACCAACATCAAGGAACCTTCCTTGAGGGGTCGAACGATTCCATCTTAGTCAATCGTGATGGACACTCATGGCCTATAACGTGGTTGTTCTTTTTACCTTCCCGAGCTTCCTATCTCATTCCAATTGAAAAACCAGAAGGCAGATAATAGTAAATTATTAAACATGAAAGTGTCCATTTTAGGATGTTATGCTATAAATTATTTTAAAATAGTCTAAGATGACGAGGATGGCCAGAAAATAGCATATAATATGAAGGGAGGTTAATGGAACAACCTGTTGGTCACGTGATCGCATGTTCGCGCCAAAAGTTGTTTATTGTGTGAAGAAGACGCGGCAGGTTTTCCTGGAGCTCTGAGGGATTATTATTATTATTTTTAAGCCAGTCTAGGGACTAGTACAGGCATGGATGTTGCAGAGACACAGACTGGACAGTCTCACGTCAAAGATGAAGTGGGAGATCGTTGTCAGAAGCTCTTTCAAGACTTCCTGGAGGAGTAAGTTCTCCCGTGCTCTTTTATGTTACTAAGGAGTATCACTTGGAGATGCTCCTTGATGCTGGTCAGGGGTTCTTGTTCATAGGAATTTCATCTATCCTTTTCTGGGATGTAATCTGATTGCCTCCTATTTCTTCTGCTACAGGCTTAACACTGCTTAATGATAAAACTTGACTGCCATTCACCAGGCACTGTTGAACCCCAATGGAAATAAGTTACGGTCTGAAATTTTTTCGGGAGGTTATCCTGTATGATCCTTGTGGGCTTAGCGCTTTTGTTTATAAAGATTTTTGCTTTATCCTAGCTGTATGACTCTTTTGGGTTTAGCACCTGATCTTTATCAGGTTATCCTTAGTAATTTATACATGTTATGTGGCGCTGTATGACCCAGATGGGTTTAGCGCTTCTTTTTTATTATAATTATACATGTTACTATGTAAGATAATTGTACTTATGTTAACCTGTACCCAAATGAACTTACTTTGGTAATGAGTAATTTACACTGCCATACTATGTATAGTATGGCAGTGATGTCAGCTATGGTCCATAACTTGTATCATGTACCTGTAGAAATAAAGATCGTTATTATTATTATTATTACTTTCAGTTTAACTCACTCCTGGCTACCTACTCTAACATAGAATAAACATCAGTACCATTCACACATACTCCTATACTGAAGGAGAAGGACCAGGAGCTGTTTTCCATATGTTAAATCATTGATAGTTCCCACACCAACTAAATATATTTTCATCCATAGTGACTGAGGAATTCTCCATGATTATAATAATGCAGTAATAATAAGAGTTGACAAGTTCACCATGCAATATTGCTTTCCCATGATCTAGCATTATATTAGTATTATATATCATCTTACACCTGTTTCTGTAGCTTCAGGGGTGTGGTTAATAATAATAATATAATACTGTAATGATCTTTATTTTTACAAGTACATGTACAAGGTATACAGACTATAGCTGACATCAGTGACACTACTATATAGAAAGCCCTTTGTTATGCAAAGTATTTCAGGCAAATTAGGTCAATTTTGTCCCAGGGTGGACTGGACAGGCACCCAAAGTCAGTACCTAACCAGCCAGGCTGTGGTTTATATGTTGGGTTGTGTGCGGCCAGCAGTAACAGCCTGGTTGATCAGGCCAACTAGTAAAGATAAATATAATAATTATTTTTTAATAATAATAATAATATTATTTTATTATAGCTAAATACTGGATAAGACAAAATTTGGATAAATCATAAACTACTGCCATTCTTTATCTAGCATAAAATAGGTACTATTAACTGTTGTATATTGCAAATCTCCTCATGACTTGATGTACAGCTATCCTCTCAGATTTCAGGAGGGCGGTGAGGTCAAATATCTGGAGGATGCCAGAGATTTGGTGAAGCCTGAGCGCAACACCCTCGAAGTATCATTTGTAGACATTGACAAGTACAACCAAAACTTGGCCACCACTATTGTTGAGGAATATTACAGGTAAAGTCAATGACTACAGTTCAGTACTATACATGTACTTGGATTTTCACTTTGTAAGCATCGCATACTAAATATTATTGTTCATGGGGGATGCTGTGGTGCTGGTGAAGGGTTCTTGATCCAGAGAATTGGAGCTACCTATCTCTTCCGTGGATCAAACCTATTAAGTCTCATTTCAGAGGTGCTGTATGACCCTTCTGTTTTTAGTGCTTCCCTATGAATATGTATAATATGGTATTGTTTTCATATAGTTTCAGCTGTTGCATACTTGATACAATAGCCAGATTGGTAAGAGGCAACGAAAGTATGCAAGTTTTTGTTTTTCTGCTTTTTTTTTTATTAAAAACATTTTTCCCCATGAAATTGTTTTATGTATTTTATCATTTTATTTGAATTTTTATTGTTTTGTTTATAGGGTGATATTAACACTTAAAGATTGGATATCAGATTGGAGGGAGAGAGTATGGAGGAGGTGAATGTATTCAGATATTTGGGAGTGGACGTGTCAGCAGATGGGTCTATGAGAGATGAGGTGAATCATAGAATTGATGAGGGGAAAAGGGTGAGCGGTGCACTTAGGAGGCTGTGGAGACAAAGAACTTTGTCCTTGGAGGCAAAGAGGGGAATGTATGAGAGTATAGTTTTACCAACTCTCTTATATGGGTGTGAAGCATGGGTGATGAATGTTGCAGCGAGGAGAAGGCTGGAGGCAGTGGAGATGTCATGTCTGAGGGCAATGTGTGGTGTGAATATAATGCAGAGAATTCGTAGTTTGGAAGTTAGGAGGAGGTGCGGGATTACCAAAACTGTTGTCCAGAGGGCTGAGGAAGGGTTGTTGAGGTGGTTCAGATATGTACAGAGAATGGAGCGAAACAGAGTGACTTCAAGAGTGTATCAGTCTGTAGTGGAAGGAAGGCGGGCTAGGGGTCAGCCTAGGAAAGGTTGGAGTGAGGGGGTAAAGGAGGTTTTGTGTGCGAGGGGCTTGGACTTCCAGCAGGCATGCGTGAGCGTGTTTGATAGGAGTGAATGGAGACAAATGGTTTTTAATACTTGACGTGCTGTTGGAGTGTGAGCAAAGTAACATTTATGAAGGGGTTCAGGGAAACCGGCAGGCTGGACTTGAGTCCTGGAGATGGGAAGTACAGTGCCTGCACTCTGAAGGAGGGGTGTTAATGTTGCAGTTTAAAAACTGTAGTGTAAAGCACCCTTCTGGCAAGACAGTGATGGAGTGAATGATGGTGAACGTTTTTGTTTTTCGGGCCACCCTGCCTTGGTGGGAATCGGCCAGTGTGATGATAAAAAAAATAAATAAATATTAACACTTAAACTGCCGTAGGTCTAAAAAAAAGAATCCGCTGCTCAGTGCTGGCAGTTATGAAAAAAAATTAAAAATGATTTTATCTTACCAAAAAAATTACCCTGATTTTAGAAGTCCAATAATTCAAGAATGAAAGAAATTGATTATTACTTAAGGAAGTATGAAGGCTGGAAGGTGATGTTTGTGATCATATTATGGCAACTTAGTGCTTGCTGCATTAAGGAAGTTGCTGTATTTTAACAGTTGGATTATTTTAATTTTTTCAAATTTTTTGTGGACCATATGTTTTATGCCAATATCTGTTTTCCTGTTTCACTTATATTCACTCAGTGTTAACATTAAACACATGTAAACAAATGCAAATGGCATTTAACTCCCACAATGCCCTACACACAACAATTTTGTTTTTATACTGCGCTCATTTATGGCACTGATATGTTTTCTTTGATGTAGTCCAAACTAGGCAAATTGGGACCATTTTTGGAGGATCTAGAATTTTGGTGCAAATTTACGTCGCCTGCTGTTTTCCTGATAAGCGTAAATTTATGTCATTGGCAGTTTAAAGGTTAATTATGTAATATTTAATTCACCATCTTGTTTTAGCTAGTTTATTTGTGTACCCTCTTTTTTTTTTTTTTTTTAGAGGTTTTATCCCATATAATTTGTATTACCAGAGTGTACCCATTCCTCTGTCGGGCTGTACGGAACTTTGTACGAGATCATGCAGAAGTTACAGTTGAAAAGGAATATTACGTAAGCCTTATTGATGTCCCCACAAGACATAAAATTCGTGAACTGACCACACACAAAATTGGTACCCTTGTTCGCATTTCTGGACAGGTAAGGAGTGGTTCAACAGACGATTGAACTTGTACGTGGTAGGCATTCTCATCTTGTCGTTATAGAAAGAAACTATTATTTAAATTTAATGATAATTTTAATAAGTTGTCTTTCTGCAGTGTGTTCTTGCAGCACATTTAATAAAAAATCAAGGTAGATTTTTATAAAATTTATCTTGAAAATTTCTAAAATACAGCCATCAACCACTAATGTGGACTATAGTTTCCTTTGTACACACAGTTGACTTGTTAATGCACCTGATTATATTTTTTAATTGCCTGAAGTTCACTTGTAAACAATGCAATGTTAACACAAGTAGATTTTGTCTACAAGACTATATAATTAATTTCTTAACCTCTTTGTTTATATTGAAGTGTAATTGTCTTATTTGTGGTTTAATTAAAAAAAATTGGGTGATCATGTGTCTAAACAGTAAACTGGAAGATAAATGCTTGTTAGTAGTGATTTTCATCTAAGCAGTTGACCAAAACCAACACTTAAAATGTAATAATGTTGGTAGAATTACCGACAATATGTTAGGTAAAAGGACACAAGTGCAATCAATGTGGCATTTTATTGTGGCAAAGTTTTGCTTTGTCAAGCTCGCCAGCTTGTCATAGCTCCTGGAGAGTGAAACGTTGCCACAATAAAATGTCAAATTAGTTGCACTTGTGTCCTTTTACCTAACAACATTTAAACTGGTAAGAGGGCTGGTTAACTGATATTTCAGATAAGAGAAAAGGTCAGTTAGGAGAGATCATATTACCCAAGAGCTGTCACTTGTAAATACTTTAAACATCATTACAAGAATAATGCTGATTGCTTAGGCAATTTCACTTCCCTGTTTCTGGAACAGTTTCTAAAGTCTTATGAAAGTAAAAATTTGTTCCAGAATTTCTCAGATTTATTTTGTACTAGATATATTGAGGTTTGCCATATACACATTGTGCAAATTAGTTTTGAATTATACAGGCTTTCTGAGCCAATGTGTTAGTTTTGATATTTTGTTTGGGTTTGTCTGCAATGCTGTTCATGTTTTAAATCCTTGTCAACTTGACTGAGGGTTGCGTTTAATAAATTTCAAATCTTAAAATGTTTTTTATTTTCTTATTTCTATTTAAAGTAACAGATGTCAAACACACAA